GGTCTATATATATTTATATATATATATATATGTATATGTATAGATATGTATATGTATATATATAAATACATTATGTACACACACACACACACATACACACACATACATACACACACACACACACATACATACACACATACACATACATACATACACATACATACACACACACACACACACACACATATACACACACACACACACATATACACACACATACATACACACACACATATATATATATATATTTATGTATACATATATATATATATATTTTGTTTATATATATGTATGTATATGTATATATATAAATATATATATATATATATAAATATATATATATATATATATATATATATATATGTATATATATATATATATATATATATATATATATATATATATATATATGTATGTATATATATATATATAAACATATAAATATATACATAAACATATAAATATACACATATATATATACATGTAAATATACATACATACATATATATGTATACATATATATGTGTGTGTGTGTGTGTATATATATATAGATAGATAGTTACATAGATATAGATATACTATAAATGTATATTGATGCAGATATACTATGAATGTACATTGACTAAATATATGTTAATATTTATATGAAACATATATTTACTTTTCCATTAAAAGAAGCATTATTTTCCAGCTATATCGCTTTTGTTCCGCAAAGTGGGCCAAGATGAAGCATGGAAGTTGGGAGGCTCAGTTTCAATTCCTTTCATGATTGTGTTCATTATCAATCTAAACTTAAACGTTGGATGGCTCTTTGCTTGGGATGCAGTCAATGCCACAGGCTCTGCAATTCTTCTTCTACTGATAGCAATTACTAATGCCATTGCTATAAGTCTGTCATCAGTAAGGTGAGTAAAAGTATTTTATCAGAAATCTTTTCCAGATTTTTGCTGTTTCGAACATATATATCCATATACAGTATAGATTTATGTAGTTAGTGTGTGTGTGTGTGTGTGTGTCTGACATCATCATCATAAGGGGGCACATGCATGGCTGCGCTTTGCCGCACCCAACCTTTGCCTCCACCTCCTGGGTCCCTCCGAGCGAGCCTCCATGCAGCATTCCTTCCCACTCCCAGTACATCTTGGCAGATCTGATTGACTTGCTTCAGCCATGAGTTCCGTGGCCTTCCCCTTGGTCTTCTCCAGCCTGGGTCAACCCTCTCGGAGATGACCCTATGAGCCGGATCTTCCTCAGGGAAACGGGCCACATGTCCATAGAGCAGAAGTTGGCGCTCTCGTATCAGACTGGTAATAGGTCTTGAATCAGTCTCATGGAGTATCCTCTGATTGGACACATGGTCCCTCCAGGTATACCCTATGATTCTGCGAAGACACTTAGTACCAAAGGAGTTAAGACGGGCTTTCAGAGCACTGTTCAGTGTCCAGGTCTCACACCCATAGAGTAAGACTGGGATCACCAGTGCTCTGAAGAGCCTGATCTTAGTTCTCCTAGTCAAATACCGACAGCGCCAAATACTCCTATTGAGTGAGTCCATAACGCCGTAGGCCAGTCCGAGTCGTCGAGTGACTTCCCAGTCGGAACCTCCATCGCTCTGCACTACACTACCAAGATAAGTGAAGCTATCCAAGACCTCAATGTTCTTGCCACAGGCATGCACAGACTGAACATCAACATCCAAAAAGTCCCCAAATTCCCGAACTTTGGTCTTGGTCCAGTTGACCGCGAGTCCCAACGGCTTCGCCGCCTCATGCAGCGCCTCGAGAGCTACTTCCAGGACCTCTAATGTCTCCGCTAGAATCACTGCATCATCGGCAAAGTCAATGTCTGTGACCTTGAAATTACCAATTGATACCCCACAGGAACTACAGTTCACGGTACGGCCAAGTATCCAGTCCATACAAGTGTTGAAAAGGGTTGGGGCCAGGACACATCCCTGTCTCACCCCGGCAGACACCGGGAAGAAGGCAGAGATGCCCTCCCCACACTTGACAGCACTCTCAATATCTGTATACAGGCCAGACAGCAAACCAATAGTTCCAGGGGGGGATCCCACGGAGACCCAGTAGGCTCCAGAGACTCTCCCGGTGCACTGAGTCGAAAGCCTTCTTGAGATCAACATAAACTGTAAGCATACCTTGTTGAAACTCAAGTCGGCATTCCACAAGGACACGAAGTGCTAAGACACGGTCTATAGTTGACTTCTTGGGTGTAAAACCAGACTGCCCAGGTCTCTGTGCTTGTAAGAGGTGGTCACGCACTCGTGCCAGAAGCAGATGAGTGAGGACCTTGCCTGGTACGCTGAGCAATGTAATACCTCTGTAGTTGCCACAGTCCTTTTGGTCCCCTTTCCCTTTCCAGATAGGGATGACCAAGCCCCTTTTCCAGTCAGGGGGAATGGTATCAGTCTCCCAAACGGCAGACAGGACTGCATGCAAACCACAGATCATGGCTTCTCCACCCGCCTTCAACAACTCTGCAGCAATCCCACAGACACCAGCAGCCTTTCCACTTTTCAGCTTAGACACTGCCCTTCTCACCTCTTCGATGGAAGGTGGTGCCTCACTGATTGGTGGATCAGCCACTAGTGGCTGTGTGCCAGCCAACGGGATTTGTGAAGACGGGGAATCTACCCTATACAGTTGCTTAAAGTATTCAGCCCAGCGGGCCCTATACTCACCAGGCTCTGACACAATGCGACCATCCTCTGCTCTCACTGAGCCCAATTGAGAGACCTTGGACTTTGATCGGAGTTCCTCAGACTCCTAGATCTTGCAAAATCTAAGAGGTATGAGCTATTGATGTTCCTAGTACCAGAGCCATAGGGACCGATGCATAGCTCGTATCCTTCTCTGTCGGTGCCAGTGACTGCATTGAAGTCCCCCAAGACCATGAGGGTGTCCCCCCGGGGACACTGATCCACTATAGAGTCAAGTTTGGCGTAGAACATCTCTTTCTCTTCAAGCCCACTTCCCTCAGTAGGAGCGTAAACTGCAACTAGAGATATGAAGCCCAAAGTGTGCTCCATTCTCACAAGCAGGATACGTTCGTCAACAGGGGTAACCTTCTTGACTGAGGAACGGAAGCGGTCAGAGACAGCCACCGCGACTCCCTTAAGGCACGCACCATTGCTACAGCCAGACCAGTTGTAGGTATAACCCCCACTACTGGTTTCACCACAACCAGGCTGTGCTCGCCGCAGATTAACCCCATTTGTGGGGCTCCGGCCAGGCGACACCTCGGCACAACCAGGCATGCCTCCCAAGGAGGAAGAGTGGGGGCTGGGGGGGCCATCCCCCCCACCACGTAACCTCAGGGTGCAGGATTCCCTGGGAGGGCTCTGCCCTACACCCGTCATAACAGGCTCGTCGTCCTGATCAGGTAAGCCCCTGGTCAGGACGCCGAGCCAAGGATCAGGAACCCCCGGCCGCAAATCGGGGTCGAAGTCACCTCCTCCGGGATGGCTCTGACCCCTTCTCTCCTTACTTGGTTCACCTGCTGGTAAGGGGTTTTTACGGGATCGGGTTGCCAGCCCGACCCCAACTGCTAGCTAGGGGCAGGGACCCAGAACTCCCTGGGGACAGATTGCCCCTGCTACCCCATATATGTGTGTCTGTGTGTGTTTTTATTTGTTTGTCTGTGGTTGTGTGTGTTTTTGTTTGGCTGTGTCTGTGGTTGTGTGTTTATGTGCTCACTCTTGTTCATTTATGTATTTTATCTGTAGACACACACGCACTCCTTTCACTCATTCACTCAAGTTCTCATTTGACTTCAATATTCAGTATTCAATTTTCAGTAGTACAGTGGATTTATTTCTTTAATTACAATTACTATTTTGTTTACTTTAAATATTACCCTTATAATTGTATTTGTCCTTGTTATTATTAGTAGAATATCATCATCTTCAATCCTCATTCTACATATGGGCACATTAAACATTAAAATTGATGTATTTGAGAGGTTCAACCTATATCTGGCAAAGTAGTATACATATACTCTTTATTTTGCAGCTTTGGAAAAGTAGCATCAGATCTGTATCAGAATTCAAGGCTTGACTTTTGGGCAGGAGTTTGTGTTCTAAATGGATATGATATATATGACACTTGGACTACACTTGCTGCCCTCATCAATCTCACGGCCTTCTTCATGTATGAGGTGCTTATCTCTCCTTGTTTTTTTTTTTTAATGCAATACTAAGATTTTGACATGATAAATATTAATGTTTTTACTATGCAGAATTTTGGAACACATGCAGAACATTTAAAATATATATTATCTGTTTCTTGGTCCTTTCAGTATGCAAGAACTAAATATAGATTTGTAAGGAATATGTCACTAGGCTTCCTTAATCTTGTAACATATGTGATGATTTCATTACAGACTGAGATTGACGGCAATAGTGTGTGCATCGGGGTGCTGATATTTGTGTTGGTGGCCTATTCTGGATACTTTATTTTGGAGAACACTGTATTAGCCTTCTGGGGTAATCCATGCTTCACACATTATTTAGGTAAGACAAAGACTTAATGAAATATATTGACATTTTAATCATTATAATATAACCAATAGTAAATTACAAGAATGGATATTTTAACCCATTCACGACAGGTAAACAAAAAATGGGGAAAATGCTGTGCTCATTTTTTATATTTTTTTGTGAAATGTGTCTACACTAGATGGCTCTGCCTTACCTGATGTCACCTTTCCTTAAATTGGCGGAAAAATGTATTTTTACTAGTGCTATGAATACTGATGGTTATTTTTATTATAAACATTATAATTACTTTAATGTTATAAACATTAGTAACAGCAAAATAAGATAATGTAAAATATTTTTGTAAATTAAGGAAAAGGGTAAACAGGCGAGACAGGCAATACAAGTACAATTGTAGCCATCTATGTTTAAAAATAATTAAACAAGTAAACTCACAGTGGGCATGTCACATATACGTGACACCTGGCACGAATGGGTTAACCTAATGCCACTGTGGAAAATGAATAAACAATGGGGAAAATGTTATGCTCATTTTTAATATTTATTATGAAATGTTACTGCACATAGATCGCTCTGTTAGTGCTTAGCCACAAAGGAGTCAATCAGTAGGTTTCACCTTTCCTTAAATTGGCAGGAAAAACATATTTTTTTCCTATTGGTTATGATTCTTGATGGTGTTATTTTTGACTTAAACATTATAATTACTACAATGTTAAACATTAGGAACAGCAAAATAAGATAGCGTAAAATATTTTCTTAAATAATGGAAAAGGGCAAAAGTCAGTACTTGAAATTAGCTCATTGGTGAGCAGCCATCTATGTGTACATACAATTGAAAAAAAAAAATTCACATGGCATGTATGTATATACCATGCCCATCGGCATCAGCATTCTA